AAGGACTGAACTGCGATAATTTATCACAGCCTGTGAACTGCTCTTCACTTTAAAACCATGCACATACCCCAATGACTATGTGAAGGTTCGCACTACTATTGCCCTGCTGTCTGGTAAACCCCAAACCTGGGCACACCAACTCCTGCACGCAAACAGTCCAATACTGGACTCATGGGACTCCTTTGCTGCAGCAATGCGTACATTATACAATGACACCCTGAGAACCTCTGCTGCACGCACTGCCCTCTGTTCCCTCCGGCAAGAGAGAAGACCAGTGGAGGATTATACTACAGGTTTCCGTGAGTTAGCTGCTGACACCGGTTATGAGACTGGTCTAATAGAGCAATACAGATTGGGTCTGTCTGAGGCATTAAAAGATGAACTAGCCAGAGTTGGGGTACCCACTTCATTGGAAGATCTGTTCCTTCTGGTCACCCAGCTAGATCGCCGGTTCAGAGAAAGAAAGCAGGAACAATTTGAAACTAGCCTTTTGCCCCATCAACGTTCCAAACGTGCTGGTGAGACCTATACCCCTGTCCCCACCATGGACATAGAGGAACCCATGCAAATTGAAACACTGAATACCATGCTCACAGTAAATGAAAAAGCCAGAAGGAGAGCCAAAGGCTTTTGCTTCTGTTGTGGCAAGGGAGTGTCACGTATTCATCTGCTTATAAAAATGTGGTTAATGGCATTTAATGTCCACACAGGAAAAGTTGAGCCGAGCACCAACCAAATCCACAGAAGGGTTAAAGGACCACTATAGGCACCCAGACCACTTCAGCTTAATGAAGTGGTCTGGGTGCCAGGTCCATCTAGGGTTAATCCTTTTTGCTGTAAACATAGCAGTTTCAGAAAAAATTTTATGCTTACCTATGGGTTAATCTAGCCTCTAGTGGCTGTCTCATTGACAGCCGCTAGAGGCGCCTCTGCACTTCTCACTGTGATTTTCACAGTTAGAAGACCCCAGCGTCCATAGGAAAGCATTGAGAATGCTTTCGTATGGACTGGCTGAATGCGATTCAGCCAGTGACGGAAGAAGAGGGAGGAGAGTCCCAGAGCCGAGGGAGCCCGGAGCTGGAAAAAGGGTAAGGGATTAACCCCTTTCTCCCCCTTGAGTGCCACGGGAGTGGGACCCTGAGGATGGGGGCACCCTCAGGGCACTATAGTGCTAGGAAAACGAGCATGTTTTCCTGGCATTATAGTGGTCCTTTAATGCTGAGCAGCAATTATGCAAATTGAAACCTGGTAACTGCCTTTGGGTCAAAGGCCGGTTACAGCCTATCAGATCTAGAGGAGGGGTATTTAGGCCCAGTTCTCATCCTGCTCAGTGCCCTGCCGTGGTTTCCCTTGTGGTTGTCCGAGAGTGCATTATTGATTCTGGTTATTTGACTTTGGCATTGTTTTTGACTTCCCTGTTTTCTGGCATCCCTGACTCCTGGCTTTTCCTTATCGTTGTGTCTCTTTCTGTTTCCCTTGACCTTGGCTATTAGTCCGGCCATTCTAAAGTCAGGTATACGTTACCTATCAGTCCTCTGTGTTACACAATTCTACGTGCTGGATCATTCTGTAATCCTGACATTATGACATGGCCATAGATCCTGTAGAATTGTGTAAGCACATAGCTGCTTGCGAAAGGTAACTAGAGGAGAATGATCACCGCATGGATCAATTTGCCCAGGCCTTCAGTACACTTCTTACCCGTACAACACATCTGCAACCTGCGGCTGCTCCTACTGTCTCACCTCTGCCTTGTGTATCTGCACCTATAGTATACAAGGCACCAACTATCTCTCTATCTCCTCCTCTGCATTTTGATGGTAATTTCCAAGAATGCCGGGGATTCCTTAACCAAATAGAGTATCATTTTGAGGCCTCAATGGGATCTTTTCCCACAGACAGAGCTAAAATTGTTAACCTGATGAATCAATTAAAAAGTAAAGCTTTAGCTTGGGCCAATCCATTATAAGAGAGTAATAGGAGTGTGGCACACCATTACCAGGAGTTTATTATGGAATTTAACCTTACATTTGAACCATT